GGGCAGTACTCCCATACAGAGGGGGTACCTGGTCTATCCCGAGAACAGTTTGTGTTTTGGCCCAAACGAGACGGGTTTGGTCTATTCGGAATAAAGCTCATAATCACCTGTACTCTCATACTTTGATACCGTCATTTCAACATGGCCTATCTACGAGATCATACAACGTAATAGGTCTCCACTCTTCGAAAAAAAAAAGTGTAGTGCCAAATTTACCACAATTAATGGCGTTGCAGTAACATTAGCTGACCCACAAGACCATGTTCATTCTCTAGTAAAAACTGTACGTGTGAATAAGCCAATTGATTGTTCGAGCATGCTCGTACATCTAAAGTCAGTCGACATAAACCTAATGTCGTCTGAATGCTTGTTTATGTTGATTGATCTTATTATGGGCATGCACAGTTCAAACTACGAATTAGATTATGGACCCTTCCACTAAGCCCACCCCCATTTAACAGCTAATGTATATTTGTAGCTCTTAATTCATTAGTCTCTTATTTAATGCATAATTATGTCCATCTCCATGATTATACTAATTAATTTTTATTTTGAATTGTATATATCTGATCGTATTTTATCCTAATCTGAAATATTTTAATTATTTTATTGAATGCTTTTTAATTTTTAACCTAATTTACTTAACGTTTTAAATTACTGGGCACCACGTTTGTACAAGCTCTTTGAGCTTTTTATGGTTGTCCATTTCATCTTTTTTTATTATATTATGTATTTTATTGCTATTTTAACTTTTCTTTGATGATGAATAAATTGAATTGAAATTGAAAATTGAAATTAAATACTGTAAGCTGAGTTTTCATTTTTTTTTTCTTTCTTATTAAGTTTACAGGGTTCTGAAAGACCTTCGGTTACAAATATACAACATTTGTTTTATTGAGAAGTCAAATAAGCACATATGATAGGTCTACCAAGGACTTTCTTACTGCACAAGATGACAATCCTTGGGCCTACAATACAACATTATGCACATAATATCTAACAACGCACATTAATGCTGGCTCAATAATAGTAAAATGCATATGTTATATGACTATGTATATCAAGCAATAATGAAGGTAAATTGGATTAAATGGATCCAAAATTAAGTTGCTAATGTGTACATTGCCCTTCGGATGGCTCTTAAAATATACGAGAATTATACACTCTTAAGAGCATAGCATGAATACGCCAATGCCAATCGTATACTCAGTCATCCATTGTTCAGCACATGATATATCGTCATTTTATGATACTGATAAGATCCGCTTCGTCGACGGAAACTGTCGTCTAATTAAACACATTAATCTTGAAAATCTGACACCCAAGTACAGATGACAGTTTCAAAAACTTAATCCCTGAGATGAAGAGATATTTTGTTTAAAAAAGGTCGGCAGTCATTATTAACAAATATGTTTTCATGTGTTTCAAATAAATCAACTTAGCGCACAATTAACACACTGATTTGTGAGCCTAAATTAATGGCACTTTTATGTTTATGTGTTCATATTTCCACAGACAGGTGTTATATCAAAGAGTACAGGATGTTATACTCTTTGTTTGTATTTATTGCTTCAATTTTATTTCACTGGGTGACTCTTATAAGCAAGACTGACTCAAAGAGACCTTCTCAAGATTACAATACAAAGCATACCTCAATTTTCGATCGTGAGCAATCAACGAATATTGAACAGAACACTTAAAATAGATTTTAACATGAGTAGATTACAACATATTAAACTTTGCCATCCAATTTATTATTAAATACCATAAACACTTAAAATGAAATATCTAGCTATAATAAAAACAAGCATAAGTGGTATTTTAAGTTGATGATATAATTAGGGAGCGAAATTAAAAAGGGAAACTTTATTATCTAGGCCTGGCCTACTTTTTAATACTTTAGTTCTCGGCTTTGGTAGATAAAAAGACCTGGCTACTTACTCTTAGCATGGAGGAAGTAATGCTCTTAGACAAAGTATTTTTGGCTAACCAGTAGTGGAACCGAAATTTATACCCAGCGGACAGCCGACGTCTTCGTGGAAGGTGGGTGGGGGCAGGGTTGCTCAGAACCAGGGTTGCAATTTGGCCGTTTTGACGGCCAGATTCCTCAAATCTGGCCGTATAAAAATTTTCCTGGCCGTCACGTTTGACACGTTTCACTGCCAAACTACAATTTGACCGAATTTGTGAAAGGTTTTTTTTTTATATAGGCCTATGTTTTTTTTATTTATTTTTTTTTTATATAGGCCTATCGTATTGTTTTGGATATGTTGTTTTTGTACAAAAGTTTAAATTCTATTTGATTGTAATTTTACCTTACATGTTTCCAGTCGTACTCGCACTAACAACTTAATCCATGTTTCCTCTTTGGCCGAGTTGACATTACAATGAGAGATTTATTTAAAAGATAATAGGCTATAAAAATTCGATATTAAGAGGCAATTTAAATTATTGCTATAAAATGATCGACTACAATGAACGTTATTCAAGGAATAATGAGAAAAAAAGTTAAGATGTTCTAGCGCCGAAATCAATCTTAATACAGTAATGTGATTTTAAGTAGGCCTACGTGAAAGCAAGGACCTATAAACAGTGAAAGATTAACTTTGTTCTCTGTATATCATTTTGATTTCAAACAAATGACCGATGATTGCCGTGTATTTTTTTTGTATTTAACTGAATATATGTACCGTACTCACTATTATCTACTAATTCGATTAAAATCTGGCCAAATTTTGGCCGATATCGAAAATAGGTTTTGACGAATTTGGCCGTGAGATGGCGTATGTTTGGCCGTGAATCCTCTCTACTATATGGCAACCCTGCTCAGTACTCCTCGGAGATGTACAGCGGCGAGGATTCTGGCAACGCCGACAATTTAAAGGCTTATTTAAATGTCGATTTTATAGTCTCATAATCTGTAATAAAATACGTAGATTTTAAGTGGGGGGGGGGTGCTCGATGATCGGTTGAGGGGCGCTAATTTGCAAATTAAGGTAATTTTAGGTGATTTTTAACTACTTGACCGTGATTTGGGGGGGGGGCGACTGGGGGCGCGAGTAATTTGTTTTACCTAGGCTACAGTCAGCCTATGTTATGTATATGGTTAGTTGATATGATAACTAAAGTGGTCAGGTCTTTAAAAACGATACAAAATATTGGTATCGGAGTGTTTAAATCTTGATTTTTTTTAGTACGCCATGATACATAAATGGAAGACAGAGATTAATCTTAACTTTGGGTATTATTTTAATTGAAAACTCGATTGCTCTGAACCTTACAAAAAGAGCATAGATACCGCGCCCTTTATTGATTTGTATGGAAACACTGCTTAAATTATGCCTATGTGATGATTGCAAATTAATGAATGGTAACCGTTGATGGAGATGATATTGTGATAGTAAAGAATACCTTCGAGTAAGTTGTTGCCTCTATTACGGGACCAAAGCCAAAAGGATGAAAGGATGTATCATGGGATTGCTTTCCAAGCAAAAAAATACCTGCCCTCAATCGTTGTATATTTTTTTTTTAATGACCTAGCACCCTAATAACATTACGGGTTGATAGCATTAACATTGTGTTACAAATTGTTATTGTATTGTATTCTACGTATATTTAGGAGCATAAAATGGACTAATTTTTAACAATAGCCAACTTAATTTCTGCTTTGTATAACATGTGCTAATTCCTTTCACAAAACACTCACACGATTCTCTGCACAAACGCTCAGTAGACAGCTTTGGGATTAAAAAGTGTCTTTTACGAGAAAAAAATCCTGTGAAAGGTGCTATATATGTGTCAATGATTCATCACACGTGCGAAAACAGTAATAAAGAGGCTGAGTTCTAAACGCCAGGAGGCTACGAATATACGAGTTTTATGTAAGCCTCCATCTAGAATTAAACTAAGAAGGTGCTTATG